ATCCGTTATCGGGTCAATCTTTGATTCATCACAGGACACACTGGCTTAAAAACCAGTGTCATCACACAAATACACCCCTAAACTTAATCTGTGCAATGCCCTCAATGTACAAAGAAGCAACAGATAATGACAAGAGTATATCAAATGGGTGAAGCAAAAGGGAACCGGTAACGGAAGCTTAGCTTTGGAAAGCGCACCCCTAAACTTAGATTCCGAAAACCTGTCTGAAAATGGTTACATTAACAACTGTTAAAGCACATGCATCAATGATATAAATGAGAAGTGAAAGAAATGTATCATACAAAGGACACAAAGCATGGGATATAATAAAGAGAGGGGAAAAAGAATTTTTTTTTTTTTTTTTTTTGGATCGATTGGAAATTGCCTCGATCGATCGAAAATCCCTGAAATACTGAGTCCTGGGAGCAAAAATTTACGACGAAAAAACGATCGATCGAAATTCATTTCGATCGATTGGAGTCTCTGTTCGATGGATTGAAATGAAGCTCGATCGATCGAAGTTGCCCAAGCTTAGAAACTTTAAGAATGCAGATTTTTGGAAAACTCACAACATGTCAGGAAAACTTCAATATGAAATCAATGCACCCTTTCCCGTGCTCGGTCTTTACCGACCTAACTTTCACTTTTTGAAAACCGCTAATTGACTTTACGAAAGCAAGATTGATAGCTATCCCTGGTTCCAATTCTAGCAAGGTCTGGCAACTGTTTTGAGCCTAATATCAACTTTTTCACGCCCTACACCAGGCCGCGCTCCTTCTAGGTCAAGCTAGCCCCGGACTCACGAAATCCGGTTCATTTTATAAAAACTTCCTTTCTTTAAAATAAACCTTTACTTTCATGAAGAACTTTTTTTTCAAATCTTTCCCAAATCCCCTTTTTATGCCATGTTATGCAATGTACCATTTGTTAACCTCTTACATCAAACTCATCGATTTAGCAATAATAATTTCAACATGGCATTCTCAATTTAATGAATATAAGCAAAGCATTCTATAGTGGTCTATTCACTACAAGAAAAAAAATCTTTTTACAAGGACCTATTTGCGTTGTAAAAAGTAATTTACAACGTGTAGTTGTATGTTGTTGAATCCAATATTTTTAAAAGTTCTTCCCTTTTACAACATGCAAGGTACCTTGTAAAAGAAGAAATGTACCCGTTGTGAATATAATATTTACAAAGTTTTGTGGTGTCTTGTAAATATATTTAGCATTAACAAGGTCTTTTGTAGGTTGTAGATAATATTTTTAACAAGGTTTCAATTATGTTATGAGTAGCTAGAAGACAATTACAAGAATTATATTGTCGTTGTGATTATCCACAGTCACAACACCTTGTTTTATCATGCATTAATCTTTTTTGAATATTTACAAGGTCAACTTGCACCTTGTTGAAAGTGTTTTTTTTTATAAAAAAATAAATAAATACTCTTTAATACACAAATAACAATAAAATAAAACTACATACCAAATAACCATCCATAAGCATATAAACAACAAATAAATAATAAGCCAAATTTTTTTTTTCGTAAACTTGCAATTCACATTAATGCGAAACTTAACAATTGTAAAATCTAGTTCAAGATTAATTACAATGAGAACTAAAGTCTTCAACAGCATAAAAACTAATTATTGATAGTAACCTAAAAATAAAATAAAAATAAAAATAAAATAAAATAAAAAAACTATTCTGTTCCGGTTAGCTAAATGAAGGGTTACAGAATATTGAATCGGCTAACCGAGCCAGGTGCCAATTCTGTTTCGTGTAACTAGGAATTAAATTGGGATACCGGTCACCAGGTTGCTTGAATCGGTCGGCCGATATGCCACGTTCCTAAATTTTTTTCCCTTGTTAAGCCCCCTTTCTTACTATTGACAACAGAAGGGGGGATAAAATTTAACTTCTAGATCGGAAGTTAATTCCTGGCTTTTGCTGCGAGTTGGGCCTACCTAGCCTTGTTGGTTGCCTGAGTTAATTTTGGAGGAATTTTCTCCAGGCCAGCATGCCTAAGTTAGTAACACCAGTCACATAATGCTCGTAACCCATTCGACACACGGCAGTATGAATTGTTGGGTTCACCTATACGATTTTTCGTTGCATGTTGACACACGAGCCTTCTTCACCCTTAAATTTAAAACCCTACCTGGGTCAGGTTACAATGGTGACCAATATCAGCTGCAAGTGACGTACAATATTAAGATCTTCAGATACTTCTCTATCAGGAAGATGAAAACCACTAGCTAGGAAGGAGTTGGAGGAAGGTCAGCCCATCTTCTTCCCTTAGCTGGCCCTTTCTCCCCTACTTTCATTCATTTCCCCGACTACTGATCTTCTATGCCTAGTGGCCTTTCTCTCTCCTTTCTTCCCTTCTCTCAACAGATTGTTCTGGAGCTTGACAACTGAATCTGAGCCTTCCTCAAGGCTTTCATAGGGCCTGTTTGGCATGCGTTTTGTTTTAGGCATTTTGTTTTCAGCTAAAACAGAAACAACGTTTTTGCTGTAAGAGTGTTTTAGAACAAAATCGGAAGCACGTTTGGGAACGATGTTTTGCTGTTGAAATGTCAAAAATAGAAATATACAAAACATGTTTGGTAGGTCATGCGTTTCAAGAATTTTGGAAACAAAATATGTTTGGTCATTCCAACTGTTGCCAAAAAAAAATAAAACAAAAATAAAAAACATGTTTGGTTATCATTGTTTTTAATTTGTTTTTATAAATTTTAAATATATTTATAAATTTATTTCTATATAAATAATCATCATATTTTTAATAGATATGGATAAATTTGAACACACAAACATAAATACATACATATATATATATATATATATATATTGGTCTTCTCATTACCATAAGAGTCAACATTTGTAACTTTTTTTAACCCGAACTTGAACTCAATGCCACATTTTAAGCAATGGTAAATTTATATAAAAATACATTTTAATAATTCAACTATTATCTATATTTTTTTCCATATTTAACTATATAATAAGTGGCTATAAAAGCCCTAAATTTTTTTGCAATAACCTATTTATATGTTATTTGCAACAACCTACTTCAATTTTGTTATCCTATTACCTGTATAGTCCAAAACATTCAAAATAAAAACAAATCAAACTGCAAGCATAAGTGGAATCGAGTGTATACCATTTACAAGTGGTTAAATATTCAACCAACAAATTAAACAAGTTCTACATAAAATGTTTGGAACAAAGCAGTAACAATACATAGTTGGGACTAAAAATTGATAATATGTTCATAAAGTAGATGACAATGGCAACGACATATCATCTTCATAACAGCACAAGTCACCTTCAAGAGAGCATTAACACACTTCATATCTGCAATGGTAGCATTTAAGTTGAAATATATTAACAATAACAGTAGCAAGTAATAGTAACAACAAAAATGATATATATTACATATATAAATATTACAAGCCCACAATAGCAACAAATATATTACATATAAAAGAAAAAACATACCATCACTCTACCAAGTGTACCCAAGAGAATTTCAGATTCGATCAGCAATAGTATTACGCAACTGATCCATTTCTCGAAGCTGAGCTGGAGGCACATGCTTAACAATCTCATCGTTTTCACCATCACTTTGAGGAGGGAAAGAAAATAATCTCTGTGATAACATAGGGAAAGAAAACAAAATTAAGAATTAAAAAAGAAAGACAGTTAACCAGAACATTGATTTAAAGACATCTTCCAAGGGAGAGGGTGTTCTTGGCAAGAAATCATCCTGGGTAAGATTAAGTTGGCATGGTTAGTTCATTACATTGGAGTAACTCCACCAAATTTATATACTGATGGTGAAATGTAGGTATTTTCAAGACATAAACAACATATCAGCTAGGTCAAATAAGTTTTTTTCCATCATATGTGCATACACTCTCTCTTGTTTTCTCTTAAATAGTTACTCAATAATATTAATCAATTATTCAATAAATATGCTTAATAATCATCACTTTCCACCAAATTATATATCTATCAGTTTCTCAACAACCATTGATGCAACACTCAAAATCAGCTTAACAAACCAAACACAACTCATTGTCCACAGGACCACAGACTATAGCTTTTCTTGAACAAGAGATCTAACGGATGAACGTTTTCCTAAAACTAACATGGTCAGGTTAGAAAAATACTGGAGCTAACTTTTGCTTTTTCTTTTGTATGTAAATGAATATGTCAATTTATATTAGTGCTAAGCTAATTAGCTAATGTACAAAAAAAAAAAAAAAAAATTGGTTAAAAAAAAGCCTAAATATTCATATTATCCAAAATTATGAAGTACACAGAACATATGAATTATCCTGAGCATTTAAAGAGTTGAAATACATAAACCCCTTCAACACAGAGAATAAACCCCTTCATGCTACTACACATGTATAATTATCAAGAAATCATCCAACCACATGACCTCATTTCCTTGAACTTCTTGTGGTTCACAATTGTATTTTAAGGTTACTAAACAACCTCCAAAGAAACCTATCAAATGAAAGAAGCTAGCAATCCCAAATTGAGATCACATACCCACTTCCAAGGAAAAGTGTTATTAACACTAATGTCTTAATTAAGATTAAGTTTCTAGTACATTGTTATTTTCATGGCAAGGAAAAGTGTTAAGCAAGAGAAAGAGAGGTAGGTTTAGGGTCCAAAACTCCTTTTGGTGTAATTGACACTAATGTCTTAATTAAGAGCTCTCTCTGTGTCACAACAACATGAAATTTGAAAGATTCAAAAAGCATGAAGAAGCACATGGCATTAGGTGAATAAATGTAGATTTTGCATGTCCATCATCATGAATTGAACTCTTCCAAGCCTTGACTATGCCCTATTTACTTACCCACTCTTTTTGTACATATTTCATAATCCACTCACTCACTCACTCTCTCAACTCCTCCCAGCTTATCTATATAAAGTTCCCAACTATCCAAAGCTAATTAACATTGTTAAGTATACAAAAATGGCCTTTTACTTGGATTGTTTCTGTTTACTCATGCTCAAGTTCTCAATCACCATGGCAAACTTGCCTAACATCTCCAATGAAGCATGCGCTGACGGTGCTGTTACTGTTGTATTACAATTTGGTGTGTATCAAGATAGCTGCCCAAAGGCTGAGCCTATCATCTTTTCTTGGGTGGAAAGGGTAGTGTCCCAAGACCCTAGAATGGCCGCTTCTCTGCTTCGACTTCATTCCCACAATTGCTTTGTTAATGCATGTCATGTTTCAAATTTTTTGTTCTATATATGTTTTTAGCCTATATAGTTTAATATTAATGAACACAAGTTTGGTTGCAGGGATGTGATGCATTAGTGTTGTTAGATGATAAGCATCAGTGTTGCAGGGATGTGATGCATCAGTGTTGTTAGATGACATTGTGAAAAAGTAGTACTAGTGTGGTGGTGTAGTAATTTGCATTCTAATTCCTCAATCAGGTGGCCCAGGCTGGGAAGTGGAAGTGGGAAGGAGGGACAGCTTGACAGCAAGCAAAACAGCAGCCAACAACAACATTTCAGGCCCCAATTCGGACGTCCCAACACTCATCACCAAGTTCAGAAATGTCGGTCTCACACTTGTTGATGTCGTTACCCTCTCAAGTAGCTTGATTTCTTTATTTTTAACCTAGAACAACATGTTTGGATACTGAGAAAACATTCTTTCTTTCTCTTTGGGAGGTACATTCACAATGGGGAAAGCTCGATGCTCAACATTTAGCTCTCGGAAAAGGGGTAACAGCAATAGCGACTCAAATGGCCCAGACAATTATGTGGCCTTTCTTACCTCTCTCCAGCAACTACGCTCAGTAACAGATAGCAACACAACGCTAGCACATCTTGACCTGGTGACCCCATCAACATTTGATAACCAGTACTATGTTAACCTAATTTCTGGGGAGGGATTACTTCCATCTGATCAGGCTCTTGTGAATGGAGCAAATACGTTACAAATACACAATGAATTTTTTCAAGAACCAGAAACAATTGTATCAAACAACTCAAAAATAAACATTTACAAGCGAAAGTAAAGAGAATAAAACCAATTTCATAATAACTTCTCATTTAATTGATTCAACAAACTGAAACAAGAAAAACCAAATCAAATTGGGGGCATTCAAATTCCTCACCTGTAAGATCACAGAGTCTATAACATCGGCATACTTCGCAGCTAAATTAAGCGACGCACAATCGCATAACACCGCACATGACTCCTTAAAACCCCGCCGAGCAGGTCACCGTGGTTTACCACGATTATCGTCAAGAAGGCGGTGACACCAGACCCCACTGCCAAGCAAGTCACCGTGGTTTACCACGATCATCGTCAACAAAGCGGCGACACCAGACCCCAAAGAATGTCCGGCAAAAATCATCTTAATCGATGACCCATTTTTGAGCCACAATCACTTCAGATTCTCTGATTCCTACCTTATTCTTCGACGAAGGCAACAAAAGAGCTAAGATCGATGGTTGGTTCGGTGGATTTCAGCCAAACAAACACACACAGCACAATCGCCCCAAAATCGCCTCCGCTCAAGCTCTCTAGAAACCCTAGAAAATGACTGAAATGTTTTAAGTTTGGTTTATATACGTGTTGCAAGTCTGGTTTAAGTGAGTGTTTTTATTTCCTCCGCTACAGTGATTATTTGGGCCAACAGTACCCAAAACACGGTAAAACACCAAAATGGTGTTTTAATTTTTGGCCCAAAAATTGAATCTGTTTTGACACTATTGGCAACAAAGTAGACCGAACCAAACATGTTTTGGGCCAAAAAATTACTACTGTAGCAGGCCTGCAACAAAAACACATGAAGCAAAACAGATACCAAAATCTCACCTTAACCTCTCTAAATCAAAGCTTGAAAATATAGAAGACATTGTAGATATATGTGTGAAGAGATATATTGAGAGAAAGGGAAGATGGACAAATGATGTTGGAAATTAAGGAGTGGTTGGCTAGTCTTGTAACTTATTTCATGGCTCTCCTCATGCCATGTGTTAAGATGTGGTGGTTTCTAACTTATTCTTAACTTACCATTATGCCCTTTTGCAAGGGGCTTTTCCTCCTCAAGCCTACAAGTGGATGGCAAGGGCAAACTCTCCTTCTTGCTTAGCATGGCCTCCCTCGACATGCTTTCCTCCATTTGGCCTTCTCTTCGGGGCTCACTTGTGCACTCCTACACGACGAGTACAAAATTTGGAACCTCTTTCTTCTTTGGCTCTACAGCGAAGCCAACTGTGAGCATACTAGCGCATTATGCGTTCCTCCGTATAGTAGGCATGACTCTTACTGACCCTCCTAGTCTCGCCACCTCTATGTTATGGGGTAGTCTTTCGTGTGCTACTCGCCATCGCACCAAAATCATTCCCTAATGTAGTGCTCGCTCCTCTGCCACCAGCTCTTGTGTAAAATTCATGGGTCCAAAACATAAATGGTTAACACTATAAATTCGGACTCTTAATCGGGTTCCCAAGTTAGTTAAAGGCTTATATGGTAAATTTTTAGATGTAATTAACACACATAATCTGGTCACGGTCTAATGTGTTCATACTAGTTCATTTACAAGCATCCAGTTAGCTGAATGAAGGGTTACAGAATGTTGAATCGGTTAACCGAGCTAGGTGCCAATTCTGTTTCGTGAAACTAGGAATTAAATTGGGATACCGGTCACCAGGTTGCTTGAATCGGTCGGCCGATATGCCACGTTCCTGATTTTTTTTCCCTTATTTAGCGCCCTTTCTTACTATTGACAACAGAAGGGGGGATAAAATTTAACTTCTAGATCGGAAGTTAATTCCTGGCTTTTGCTGCGAGTTGGGCCTACCTAGCCTTGTTGGTTACCTGAGTTAATTTTGGAGGAATTTTCTCCAAGCCAGCATGCCTAAGTTGGTAACACCAGTCACATGATGCTCGTGACCCATTCGACACATGGCAGTATGAGTTGTTGGGTTTACCCATACGATTTTTCGTTGCGTGTTTACACACAAGCCTTCTTCACCCTCAAATTTAAAAACCCTACCTGGGTCAGGTTACAATGGTGCCCAATATCAGCTGCAAGTGATGTACAATATTTAGATCTTGAGATACTTCTCTATCTGGGAGATGAAAGTACGTAGGGTAGAACGGCCCGCTAGATGAAGAAAACCACTCGCCAGGAAGGAGTTGGAGGAAGGTCACCCCATCTTCTTCCCTTAGCTAGCCCTTTCTCCCCTACTTTCATTCATTTCCCCGACTACTGATCTGCTATGCCTAGTGGCCTTTCTCTCTCCCTTCTTCCCTTCTCTCAGCAAATTGTTCTGAAGCTTGACAACTGAATCTGACCCTTCCACAAGGCTTTCATAGGGCCTGTTTGGCATGCGTTTTGTTTTAGACGTTTTGTTTTTAGCTAAAACAGAAACAATGTTTTTGTTGTAACAGATTTTTAGAACAAAATTAGAAGCACGTTTGGGAACGATGTTTTGCTATTGAGATGTCAAAAACAGAAATATGCAAAACATGTTTGGTAGGTCATCCGTTTTAAGAATTTTGGAAACAAAACATGTTTGGTCATTCCAACTGTTGCGAAAAAAAATAAAACAAAAATAAAAAATATGTTTGGTTATTATTGTTTTTAATTTGTTTTTATAAATTTTAAGTATATTTATAAATTTATTTCTATATAAATAATCATCATATTTTTAATAGATATGTATAAATTTGAACACACAAACATAAATACATACATACATATATATATATATATTGTCTTCTCATTACCATAAGAGTCCACATTTGTAACTTTTTCTAATCCAAACTTGAACTCAATGTCACATTTTATGCAATGGTAAATTTATATAAAAATACATTTTAATAATTCAAATATTATCTATATTTTTTTCCATATTTAACTATATAATAAGTGGCTATAAAAGCCCTAATTTTTTTTGCAATAACCTATTTATAAGTTGTTTGCAATAACCTACTTCAATTTTGTTATCCTATTACTTGTATAGTCCGGCCCATTCAAAATAAAAACAAATCAAATTGCAAGCATAAGTGGAATAAAGTGTATACCATTTACAAGTGCTTAAATATTCAACCAACAAATTAAACAAGTTTAAGTTCTACATAAAATGTTTAGAACAAAGCAGTAACAATACATAGTTGGGACTAAAAATTGATAATATGTTCATAAAGTAGATGACAATGGCAACGACACATCATCTTCATAACATCACAAGTCACCTTCAAGAGAGCATCAACACACTTCATATCTGCAATGGTAGCATTTAAGTTGAAATATATTAACAATAATTGTAGCAAGTAATAGTAACAACAAAAATGATATATATTACATATATAAATATTACAAGCCCACAATAGCAACAAATATAGTACATATAAAAGAAAAAACATACTATCACTCTATCAAGTGTACCCAAGAGAATTTCAAATTCGGTCAGCAATAGTATTACGCAACTGATCCATTTCTCGAAGCTGAGCCGGAGGCACATGCTCAACAATCTCGTCGTTTTCACCATCACTTTGAGGAGGGAAAGAAAACAAAATTAAGAATTAAAAAATGAAAGTTAGTTAACCAGAACATTGATTTAAAGACATCTTCCAAGGGAGTGGGTGTTCTTGGCAAGAAATCATCCTGGGCAAGATTAAGTTGGCATGGTTAGTTCATTACATTGGAGTAACTCCACCAAATTTATATACTGATGGTGAAATGTAGGTATTTTCAGGATATAAAAAACATATCAGCTAGGTCAAATAAATTTTTTTCCATTATATGTGCATACACTCTCTCTTGTTTTCTCTTAAACAGTTACTCAATAATATTAATCAATTATTCAATAAATATGCTTAATAATCATCACTTTCCACCAAATTATATATCTATCAGTTGCCCAACAACCATTTATGCAACACTCAAAATCAGCTTAACAAACCAAACACAACTCATTGTCCACAGGACCACAGACCATAGCTTTTCTTGAACAAGAGATCTAACGGATGAACGTTTTCCTAAAACTAACATGGCCAGGTTAGAAAAATACTGGAACTAAATTTTTCTTTTTATTTTGTATGTAAATGAATATGTCAATTTATATTAGTGCTAGGCTAATTAGCTAATGCACAAAAAAAAAAAAAAAGGCCTCAACATTCATATTATCCAAAATTATGGGGTACATAGAACATTTGAATTATCATGAGCATTTAAAGAGTTGAAATACATAAACCCCTTCAACACAGAGAATAAACCCCTTCGTGTTACTACACATGTATAATTACCAAGAAATCATCCAACCACATGAACTCATTTCCTTGAACTTCTTGTGGTTCACAACTATATTTTGAGGTTACTAAACAACCTCCAAAGAAACCTATCAAATGAAAGAAGCTAGCAATCCCAAATTGAGATCACATACCCACTTCCTAGGAAAAGTGTTATTGACACTAATGTCTTAATTAAGATTAAGTTTCTAGTACATTGTTATTTTCATGGCAAGGAAAAGTGTTAAGCAAGAGAGAAAGGTAGGTTTAGGGTCCAAAACTCCTTCTTGTGTAATTGACACTAATGTCTTAATTAAGAGCTCTCTCTGTGTCACAACAACAAGAAATTTGAAAGATTCAAAATGCATGAAGAAGCACATGGCATTAGGTGAATAAATGTAGATTCTGTATGTCCATCATCATGAATTGAACTCTTCCAAGCCTTGACTATGCCCTCTTTACTTACCCACTCTTTTTGTACATATTTTATCATCCACGCATTCACTCACTCTCTCAACTCCTCCAAGGTTATCTATATAAAGTTCCCAACTATCCAAAGCTAATTAACATTGTTAAGCATACAAAAATGGCCTTTTACTTGGATTGTTTCTGTTTACTCATGCTCAAGTTCCCAATCACCATGGCAAACTTGCCCAACATCTCCAATGAAGCATGCGCTGATGGTGCTGTTACTGTTGTATTGCAAGTTGTGTGCATCAAGATAGCTGCCCAGAGGCTGAGCCCATCATCTTCTCTTGGGTGGAAAGGGCAGTGTCCCAAGACCTTAGAATGGCCGCTTCTCTGCTTCGACTTCATTCCCATAATTGCTTTGTTAATACATGTCATGTTTCAAATTTTTTGTTCTATATATGTTTTTAGCTTATATAGTTTAATATTAATGAACACAAGTTTGGTTGCAGGGATGTGATGCATCAGTGTTGTTAGATGACATGCATCAGTGTTGCAGGGATATGATGCATCAGTGTTGTTAAATGACATTGTGAACAAGTAGTACTAGTGCGGTGGTGTACTAATTTGCATTCTAATTCCTCAGTCTAGTGGCCCAGGCTGGGAAGTGGAAGTAGGAAGGAGGGACAGCTTGACAGCAAGCAAAACAGTAGCCAACAACAACATTGCAGGCCCCAATTCGGACATCCCAACACTCATCACCAAGTTCAGAAATGTCGGTCTCACGCTTGCTGATGTCGTTACCCTCTCAGGTAGCTTGATTTCTTTATTTTTAACCTAGAATAAAATGTTTGGATGCTGAGAAAACATTATTTCTTTCTCTTTGGGAGGTGCACCCACAATGGGGAAAGCTTGATGCTCAACATTTAGCTCTTGGCAAAAGGGTAACAGCAATAGCGACTCAAATGGCCCAGACATTGATGCCGCCTTTCTTAACTCTCTCCAGCAACTATGCTCAGAAATAGATAGCAACCCAACGCTGGCACATCTTGACCTGGTGACCCCATCAACATTTGATAACCAGTACTATGTTAACCTAATTTCTGGGGAGGGATTACTTCCATCTGATCAGGCTCTTGTGAATGGGGCAAATACGTTGCAAATATGCAATGAATTTTATCAGGAACCAGAAGCAGTTGTATCACAACTCAAAAATATACATTTACAAGAAGATATAAACAGAATAAAACCAATTTCATAATAACTTCTCATTTGATTGATTCAACAAACTGAAACCAGAAAAACCAAATCAAATTGGGGCCATTCAAATTCCTCACCTGCAAGATCACAGAGTCTATAACATCGGCATAGTTCACAGCTAAATTGAGCGACGCGCAATCGCATAACACCGCACATGACTCCTCGAAAGCCCACCAAGCAGCTCACCGTGGTTCACCACGATCATCGTCAAGAAGGCGGCGACACCAGACCCCACCGCCGAGCAAGTCACCGTGGTTTACCACGATCATCGTTAAGAAGGCGGCGACACCAGACCCCAAAGAATGTACGGCAAAAATCATCTTAATTGATGACCTATTTTTGAGCCACAATCGCTTCAGATTCTCCGATTCCTGCCTTGTTCTTCGACGAAGACAACAAAAGAGCAAAGATCGGTGGTCGGTTTGGTGGATTTCAGCTAAACAAGCACACACAGCACAATTGCCCCAAAATTGCCTCTGTTCGAGCTCTCTAGAAACCCTAGAAAATGACTGAAATGTTTTAAGTTTCATTTATATACGTGTTGCACGTCTGGTTTAAGTGAGTGTTTTTACTTCCTTCGCTACAGTGATTATTTGGGCCAACAGTACCCAAAACACGGTAAAACACCAAAATGGTGTTTTAATTTTTGGCCCAAAACACGGTAAAACACCAAAATGGTGTTTTAATTTTTGGCCCAAAAATTGAATCTGTTTTGACACTATTGGCAACAAAGTAGACCGAACAAAACATGTTTTGGGCTAAAAAATTACTACTGTCGAAGGCTTGCAATAAAAACACATGAAGCAAAACAGATACCAAAATCTTACCTTAACCTCTCTAAATCAAAGCTTGAAAATATGGAAGACATTGTAGATATATGTGTGAAGAGATATATTGAGAGAAAGGGAAGATGGACAAATGATGTAGGAAATTAAGGAGTGGTTGGTTAGTCTTGTAACTTATTTCATGGCTCTCCTCATGCCATGTGTTAAGATGTGGTGGTTTCTAACTTATAGTTAACTTACCATTATGCCCTTTTGCATGGGGCTTCTCCTCCTCAGGCCTACAAGTGGATGGCAAGGGTAAACTCTCCTTCTTGCTTAGCATGGCCTCCCTCGACATGCTTTCCTCCATTTGGCCTTCTCTTCGGGGCTCACTTGTGCACTCCTACACGATGGGTACAAATTCCAGAACCTCCTTCTTCTTTGGCTCTACAGCGAAGCCAATTGTGAGCATACTAGCGCATTATGCGTTCCTCTGTATAGTAGGCATGACTCTTACTGACCCTCCTAGTCTCGCCACCTCTATGTTATGGGGTAGTCTTTCGTGTGCTACTCGCCATCGCACCAAAATCATTCCCTAATGTAGTGCTCGCTCCTCTGCCACCAGCTTTTGTGTAAAATTCATGGGTCCAAAACATAAATGGTTAAAACTATAAATTCGGACTCTTAATCAGGTTCCCAAGTTAGTCAAAGGCTTATATGGTAAATTTTTAGATGTAATTAGCACACATAATCTGGTCACGGTCTAATGTGTTCATACTAGTTCATTTACAAGCATCCGGTTAGCTAAATGAAGGGTTACAGAATGTTGAATCAGTTAACCGAGCCAGGTGCCAATTCTGTTTCGTGTAACTAGGAATTAAATTCGGATACCGGTCACTAGGTAGCTTGAATCAGTCGGCCGATATGCCACGTTCCTGCATTTTTTTCCCTTGTTTAGCCCCCTTTCTCACTATTGACAACAGAAGGGGGGATAAAATTTGACTTCCAGATCGGAAGTTGATTCCTGGCTTTTGCTGCGAGTTAGGCCTACCTAGCCTTGTTGGTTACCTGAGTTAATTTTGGAGGAATTTTCTCCAGGCCAGCATGCCTAATTTGGTAACACTAGTCACATGATGCTCGTGACCCATTCGACACACGGTAGTATGATTTGTTAGGATCACCCATACGATTTTTCGTTACGTGTTGACACACGAGCCTTCTTCACCCTCAAATTTAAAAACCCTACCTGGGTCAGGTTACAATGGTGACCAATATCAGCTGCAAGTGACGTACAATATTTTGATCTTAAGATACGTCTCTATCAGGGAGATGAAAGTACGTAGGGTAGAACGGCCCACTAGATGAAGAAAACCACTAGCCAGAAAGGAGTTGGAGGAAGGTCAGCCCATCTTCCTCCCTTAGCTGGCCCTTTCTCCCATACTTTCATTCATTTCCCCGACTACTGATCTTCCATGCCTAGTGGCCTTTCTTATCTCCCTTCTTCCATTCTCTCAGCAGATTGTTCTGGAGCTTGACAACTGAATCTGAGCCTTCCTCAAGGCTTTCATAGGGCCTGTTTGGCATGCGTTTTGTTTTAGGCGTTTTGTTTTTAGCTAAAACAAGAACAATATTTTTGCTGTAAGAGTGTTTTAGAACAAAATCGAAAGCACGTTTGGGAACGATGTTTTGCTGTTGAAATGTCAAATACAGAAATATGCAAAACATGTTTGGTAGTTCATGCATTTCAAGAATTTTGAAAACAAAATATATTTGGTCATTCCTACTATTGCCAGAAAAAAATAAAACAAAAATAAAAAACATGTTTGGTTATCATTGTTTTTAATTTGTTTTTATAAATTTTAAGTATATTTATAAATTTATTTCTATATAAATAATCATCATATTTTTAATAGATATGGATAAATTTGAACACACAGACATATATATATATATATATATATATATATATATATATATATATATATATATATTGGTCTTCTCATTACCATAAGAGTCAACATTTGTAACTTTTTGTAATCCAAACTTGAACTCAATGTCACATTTTATGCAATGGTAAATTTATATAAAAATACATTTTAATAATTCAAATATCATCTATATTTTTTCCATATTTAACTATATTATAAGTGGCTATAAAAGTCCTAAATTTTTTTGCAATAACCTATTTATAAGTTGTTTGCAATAACCTACTTTAATTTTATTATCCTATTACCTGTATAGTCTAACACATTCAAAATAAAAACAAATCAAACTGCAAGCATAAGTGGAATAGAGTGTATACAATTTACAAGTTCTTAAATATTCAACCAACAAATTAAACAAGTTTAAGTTCTACATAAAATGTTTGGAACAAAGCAGTAACAATACATAGTTGGGACTAAAAATTGATAATATGTTCATAAAGTAGATGACAATGGCAACGACACATCATCTTCATAACAGCACAAGTCACTTTCAAGAGAGCATCTACACACTTCATATCTACGATGTTAGCATTTAAGTTGAAATATATTAACAATAATAGTAGCAAGTAATAGTAACAAAAAAAAATGATTTATATTACATATATAAATATTACAAGCCCATAATAGCAACAAATATATTACATATAAAAGAAAAAACATACCATCACTCTATCAAGTGTACCCAAGAGAATTTCAGATTCAGTTAGCAATAGTATTACGCAACTGATCCATTTCTCGAAGTTGAGCTGGAGGCACATGCTCAACAATCTCATCGTTTTCACCATCACTTTGAGGAGGGAAAGAAAACAATCTCTGTGATACCATAGGGAAAGAAAACAAAATTAAGAATTAAAAAATGAAAGATCGTTAACCAGAACATTGATTTAAAGACATCTTCCATGGGAGTGGGTGTTCTTGGCAAGAAATCATCCTGGTTAAGATGAAGTTGGCATGGTTAGTTCATTACATTGGAGTAACCCCACCAAATTGATATACTGATGGTGAAATGTAGGTATTTTTAAGACATAAACAACATATCAGTTAGGTCAAATAAGTTTTTTTCCATCATATGTGCATACACTCTCTCTTGCTTTTTTGAACAAGAGATCATAGCTTTTCTTGAACAAGAGATCTAACGGATGAACATTTTCCTAAAACTAACATGGTCAGGTTAGAAAAATACTGGAACTAACTTTTTCTTTTTATTTTGTTTGTAAATGAATATGTCAATTTATATTAGTGCTAGGCTAATTAGCTAATGCACAAAAAAAAAAATAATAATAATAATAAAAAAATGGTTAAAAAAAATGCCTCAACATTCATATTATCCAAAATTATGAACTACACAGAACATATGAATTATCCTGAGCATTTAAAGAATTGAAATACCTAAACCCCTTCAACACAGAGAATAAACCCCTTCGTGCTACTACACATGTATAATTACGAAAAAATCATCCAACCACATGAACTCATTTCCTTAAACTTCTTGTGGTTCACAACTGTATTTTGAGGTTACTAAACAACCTCCAAAGAAACCTATCAAATGAAAGAAGCTAGCAATCCTAAATTGAGATCACATACCCACTTCCAAGGAAAAGTGTTATTGACACTAATGTCTTAATAAAGATTAAGTTTCTAGTACATTGTTATTTTCATGGCAAGGAAAAGTGTTAAGCAAGAGAGAGAGAGGTAGGTTTAGGGTCCAAAACTCCTTCTGGTGTAATTGACACTAATGTCTTAATTAAGAGCTCTCTCTGTGTCACAACAACATAAAATTTGAAAGATTCAAAAAGCATGAAGAAGCACATGGCATTAGGTTAATAAATGTAGATTATGTATGTCCATCATCATGAATTGAACTCTTCCAAGCCTTGACTATGCCCTCTTTACTTACCCACTCTTTTTGTACATATTTCATCATCCACTCACTCACTCACTCTCTCAACTCCTCCAAGCTTATCTATATAAAGTTCCCAACTATCCAAAGCTAATTAACATTGTTAAGCATACAAAAATGGCCTTTTACTTGGATTGTTTCTGTTTACTCGTGCTCAAGTTCTCAATCACCATGGTAAACTTGCCTAACATCTCCAATGAAGCATGCGCTGATGGTGCTGTTACTGTTGTATTGCAATTTGGTGTGTATCAAGATAGCTGCCAAGAGGCTGAGCCCGTCATCTTCTCTTAGGTGGAAAGGGCAGTGTCCCAAGACCCTAGAATGGCCGCTTCTCTGCTTCGACTTCATTCCCACGATTGCTTTGTTAATGCATGTCATGTTTCAAATTTTTTGTTCTATATATGTTTTTAGCTTATATAGTTTAATATTAATGAACACAAGTTTGGTTGCAGGGATGTGATGCATCAGTGTTGTTAGATGACATGCATCAGTGTTGCAGGGATGTGATGCATCAGTGTTGTTAGATGACATTGTGAACAAGTAGTACTAGTGTGGTGGTGTGCTAATTTGCATTCTAATTCCTCAGTCAGGTGGCCCAAGCTGGGAAGTGGAAGTGGGAAGGAGGGACAGCTTGACAGCAAGCAAAACAGCAGCCAACAACAACATTTCAGGCCCCAATTCGGACGTCCCAACACTCATCACCAAGTTCAGAAATGTCGGTCTCACGCTTGCTGATGTCGTTACGCTCTTAGGTAGCTTGATTTCTTTATTTTTAACCCAGAACAAAATGTTTGGATGCTGAGAAAACATTCTTTCTTTCTCTTTGGGAGGTGCACACACAATGGGGAAAGCTCGATGCTCAACATTAAGCTCTTGGCAAAAGGGTAATAGCAATAGCGACTCAAATGGCCCAGACATTGATGTGGCTTTTCTTACCTCTCTCCAGCAACTATGCTCAGAAACAGTTAGCAACACAACGCTGGCACATCTTGACCTGGTGACCCCATCAACATTTGATAACCAGTACTATGTTAACCTAATTTCTGGGGAGGGATTACTTCCATCTGATTAGGCTCTTGTGAATGGAGCAAATACGTTACAAATACGCAATGAATTTTATTAGGAACCAGAAGCAATTGTATCAAATAACTCAAAAATATACATTTATAAGCAAATCTAAACAGAATAAAACCAATTTCATAATAACTTCTCATTTGATTGATTCAACAAACTGAAACCAGAAAAACCAAATCAAATTGGGGGCATTCAAATTCGTCACCTGCAAGATTACAGAGTCTATACCATCGGTATACTTCACAGCTAAATTGAGCGACGCGCAATCGCATAACACCGCACATGAGTCCTCGAAACACCACCGAGCAGGTCACCGTGGTTCACTATGATCATCGTCAAGAAGGCGGCGACACCAGACCCCACCGCCGAGCAAGTCACCGTGGTTCACCACGATCATCGTTAACAAAGCGGCGACACCAGACCCCAAAGAATGTCCGGCAAAAATCATCTTAATCGATGACCCATTTTCGAGCCACAATCGCTTCAGATTCTCTGATTCCTACCTTATTCTTCGACGAAGACAACAAAAGAGCAAAGATCGATGGTTGGTTTGGTGGATTTCAGCCAAACAAGCACACACAGCACAATCGCCCCAAAATCGCCACTGCTCAAGCTCTCTAGAAACCCTAGAAAATGACTGAAATGTTTTAAGTTTGGTTTATATACATGTTGCAAGTCTGGTTTAAGTGAGTGTTTTTACTTCCTCCGCTACAGTGATTATTTGGGCCAACAGTACCCAAAACACGGTAAAACACCAAAATGGTGTTTTAATTTTTGGCCCAAAAATTGAATCTGTTTTGACACTATTGGCAACAAAGTAAACCGAACCAAACATGTTTTGGGTTAAAAAATTACTACTGTAGCAGGCCTGTGACAAAAACACATGAAGCAAAACAGATACCAAAATCTTTGGTGTTTTAATTTTTGGCCCAAAAATTGAATCTGTTTTGACACTATTGGCAACAAAGTAAACCGAACCAAACATGTTTTGGGTTAAAAAATTACTACTGTAGCAGGCCTGTGACAAAAACACATGAAGCAAAACAGATACCAAAATCTCACCTTAACCTCTCTAAATCAAAGCTTGAAAATATGGAAGACATTGTAGATATATGTGTGAAGAGATATATTGAGAGAAGGGGAAGATGGACAAATGATGTTGGAAATTAAGGAGTGGTTGGCTAGTCTTGTAACTTATTTTATGGCTCTCCTCATGCCATGTGTTAAGATGTGGTGGTTTCTAACTTATTCTTAACTTACCAATATGCCCTTTTGCATGGGGCTTCTCCTCCTCAAGCCTACAAGTGGATGGCAAGGGCAAACTCTCCTTCTTGCTTAGCATGGCCTCCCTCGACATGCTTTCCTCCATTTGGCCTTCTCTTTGGGGCTCACTTGTGCACTCCTACACGACGGGTACAAATTTCGGAACCTCCTTCTTCTTTGGCTCTACAGCGGAGCCAACTTTGTGCATACTAGCGCATTATGCGTTCCTCCGTAGAGTAGGCATGACTCTTACTGACCCTCCTAGTCTCGCCACCTCCATGTTATGGGGTAGTCTTTTTTGTGCTACTTGCCATCGCACCAAAATCATTCCCTAATGTAGTGCTCGCTCCTCTGCCACCAGCTCTTGTGTAAAATTCATAGGTCCAAAACATAAATGGTTAACACTATAAATTCAGACTCTTAATCGGGTTCCCAAGTTAGTCAAAGGCTTATATGGTAAATTTTTAGATGTAATTAACACACATAATCTGGTCACGGTCTAATGTGTTCATACTAGTTCATTTACAAGCATCCGGTTAGCTGAATGAAGGGTTACAGAATGTTGAATCGGTTAACCGAGCTAGGTGCCAATTCTGTTTCGTGGAACTAGGAATTAAATTGGGATACCGGTCACCAGGTTGCTTGAATCGGTCGGCCGATATGCCACGTTCCTGAATTTTTTTCCCTTGTTTAGCCCCCTTTCTTACTATTGACAACAGAAGGGGGGATAAAATTTAACTTCTAGATCGGAAGTTAATTCCTGGCTTTTGTTACGAGTTGGGCCTACCTAGCCTTGTTGGTTGCCTGAGTTAATTTTGGAGGAATTTTCTCTAGGCTAACATGCCTAAGTTGGTAACACCAGTCACATGATGCTCGTGACCCATTCGACACATGGCAGTATGAGTTATTGGGTTCACCCATACGATTTTTCGTTGCGTGTTGACACACGAGCCTTCTTCACCCTCAAATTTTAAAACCCTACCTAGGTCAGGTTACAATGGTGACCAATATCAGCTGCAAGTGATGTACAATATTTAGATCTTGAGATACTTTTCTATCTGGGAGATGAAAGTACGTAGGGTAGAACGGCCCGCTAGATGAAGAAAACCACTCGCCAGGAAGGAGTTGGAGGAAGGTCACCCCATCTTCTTCCCTTAGCTGGCCCTTTCTCCCCTACTTTCATTCATTTCCCCAACTACTGATCTTCTATGCCTAGTGGCCTTTGTTCTCTCCCTTCTTCCCTTCTCTCAGCAGATTGTTCTGGAGCTTGACAACTGAATCTGAGCCTTCCTCAAGGCTTTCATAGACTTCCATATCCATCGCAACTTGTTTCCCTAACCATAGTTTTAAATTGTTTCACATTTGCAATCACATTTTATTTGGCTATAATTTATGCATATGAAAGGATTATGTACATTAGTTTCCTGATCGATCTATTGGTTTGATATATCAAAATTTCCATTTTAGAGTTTTTTTTATTGATGTTTTGCATATCTTGAATTGTTCCAAATGTACATTGATTACATTCCAATTGAAAAGATATATGTATCTTGATTCAGCTAATCCACTTATTTGAAATGTAGAAAAGATTACTTTATTTTGATATTGACTAGCAATAGTCACAAAAAGATTTCTTTATCTTGATACTTACTGAATAGCATTTGTCACATAGTTTAATTATTTTTTATATATCAATTTTTAATATGCATTATTATCATGCACGACTTACTTTAATTATGCTCGTGTCTTATATCGTACATTATGCCTAGATTCTAGAAGACCTTTTACACTATGGTGCACTTTGAATATTTAATAACTATTTATAAATTTTTATAACATAATTTGATTTCATACGAAACAGTGCCATCGTGTACGTGTTGCAACATTCTTCAATACCTTGTTTTTATGCCTTCGTCCCGCTCATATGTTACATTTCCACTCATGGATAATAAAAGGGCATATCCTCCAGTTATAAGGAGCTATTACCCAACTTCTAGTAGACCAATGAGAGGAGTATATGCAGGATATCTTATCAAGAAATCAATTTTCCTCCTTCACATTAGCAATCAAGGAGGGGTTAACTTGCATATGATTGGTTAATAATTTTTGAAGGTAGTACTTTTGATTGAGTTTCATTTGTTGATTAATATATTCTACTTGTTGCATGATCAATAAATCAACTGTGCCATATCATCATGTTGTATCTTCACAGCTCTTACAAATTCTGTTTTGATTTTGATTAATGCAAATAAGTTTTTCATGCGCATGTGGAACTCATTCATGCAAATAAGTTATTCATCTTTGGGGACTGATTTGGCCACTGTTTGAATTTTAAATGGAAGCTGTTACAAATGCATGCATTTTCTTCATAAAATTTTATCCCCCTTGTTATTGGATTTATCAATTATGTTATATTCTACTTTTGCTTCTTTGTCCTCCACTTCTCCTTGTATTTGATCAGTACGAGCCGTAAGAAATCCTAGTGTTTCATTAAACCAACTCTAATGTCGACTTTACGGAAATACAATTTATGAAGACTTTGTAATAGAGAAAAAAAAAACCTAGTGTTAAATTCAAGTTAACAAATTTAGTGGTGATCTACAATATCACTCTGTCCATCTAATGCTAAAAGTAATTTTATATGGGAAGAATATTAGCGCTAGTAATCTCGAACCATCTGAAAGTTCTATCTCCATAGCATGAAAGGGAGGTTCCTTGTCAGTTGTCATGCCGCCTCCCTCTACTTTTTCAAGATCTCACCTTGGTCGAGCATTTTTGTCTCTCAACAATTGAGCTGATTTTTGCAAAGCCCAATATATTTATTTTTTTGGGAAAATAAAGCTAGTTATATATATACTAGTCAATGTCACGTGAGTAAATAAAGCATAATTTGTCACTAAATTAAAAAAATATAAATATTTTGATATGCCTTTGGTACATCCATCATAACAAAATAAATAAAAAAAATTAAAAATGAGAATAAAAGAGGAATCATAATAGTTAATGTTAGGAATGACCTTTAACAATGCTGAGTAAATAAGATGAGGTGCTGGTTTCCACAAAAATTACAGCATGTAATGGTAAAATTATTGGAATGAACTGAAAACATACAACATATTAATATTTGTGTTTTTAAATATAATTTTTTTTCATTGGTATTATAAGAATATCTCTTGGTGTGCTAAATATATTTGACACACTTATTGAGTTTAATATATTTTTAAATATATTCATGATTAAAATTTTAAAATTGTATGATGAAAATCTTTGGAAAAAAATATATTTTTATTAACACAAATAAAAAATAATAACACACTACACAAATAATTAAAAATAATTAAACCAAATGAAGGGAGTAAACATCTTTGACGCAAAGAGAAAAAGTTTAACTTTTTTTCTTCCAGAAGAAATTTGACTTGAATCATTCAATATAAATATTTGATAAGATGTGAAAAACTCAATGAGAATGAATTTTGGTTTCACCGGACATATTTTTAACAAAAGTAAAACTAAATTAAATAAAATATGTTCAAAGACAATTCATAAACTAATTTGATTCGTATACTTCAAAATGGATATAATTGCGAGGAAAAAAAATGAATTTATAAATGTAATTTTATTGACATTAATATTGTAGTAGAAGTAGAAGGAGATTTAGAATGGGATTATTATTATTTTTGAAGATTTATTAAAATTCAAATTTTAGTAGAATGAGAATTCTGAACTGCATATATTTTATTGATGTACCAAATTATTTTCACAACAAGTAAATATAGACATGGACAAATCTTATATATAGATATATATATATATATATATATATATATATATATATATATATATATATATATATAAATTATGCCAATCCAACAGTGGATAATACCTAACAATGCAACCACCGGATTATACCTAACAAAGCAACCCAAATTCTAAATAAATCTGTTTTCATCAAACTTATTTTAGTGACAATGTGAATATATTATGAAAAAATTTTAAAAAATAAAAGAAGAACAATGAAATAAGTTTTACTTTCGAATAAAAATTATGCCCTTGCTAAACAGAATATTAGCAATCTATTTCTTTTATATGTATTTATGAAAGATTTAGTTACTTAATAATATTGATTCAATTTTAAAAAAATTGGGCGAATTCAATAAAAAAACTATCTATTCTATAAAAAGAAGTAATAAAATACATTTTATTAATTTAAATTTTAGGATAAATTGCACAAAACTCTATTAACTATCACCTATTTGAACAAAAGTTGAATACTGTAAATAAATCTCTCTCAAGACTGTAAATAAATATCTCTCATACCATATATATATATATATATATATATATATATATATATATATATATATGTTGTATAGCGATGTAAATTCGGTCAATTTGCAAATGGTTCTATTTAGAGACCAATGTTTTCATTATTTTTTTTAAAAAAAGACTTATTTTCTTTTAATTTCTAATCTCTGTTATACAAACCCATTTTCGTTTACATGAGAAAAAAGAAAACAAAATAACATGTGATGCACCTCTTTGTGTTGAATGATTATCCTTTTTTTGCCATCAATCAAGGGTCCCTTCGTTGCAACATAATTCAATCAACATCCAATTCGATAAGTTTGGAGTTCTCAATCCTTATATTATACAACAAATATATATATATATATATATATATATATATATATAATAAAATAAAATAAATATTAAATCATCAAAACTCAAATATTACATAAAGAGGCACAACTATGTATTTTTTTCAAATATTGAGGCACAATTAAAAACTTACCTTATATTTTATTAATGCAATCTAAACTCAATTTGCATTGGAGTAACATTTAACAATTTTGAAATTTTCATTATAAATATGGAACGTT